AAATGACGGTTTAAAGACCTTTGTCTCACGATGGTTGTTGACGCTAGTCGCAACTCTAAGGCGGAACGTACGCTGTCGCTATCCCGTTCGGGGTTAAAATTACTTTTTGAAAACCATTAAGTTCTAATTCCTTTTAAAGCGTTGTCGCTGTTTTTAAAATGAATGCTTAGTTTTCACTATCTGGACTTAACCTCAGTTGTCACTTGTTGGTTCGTACCTTTATGAATTTCCCACTGTCGTGGCAAAACTGCTTTTAAATAAGTTCTCGCTGTCGCGACGAACATTTATTTTAGAAAAATCGATTTAAAAACTGAAGCCATAAATAAGTTTTGAAAAGGAAGGTATACACCGGTTAATTATCGAATCCCATCTGATTACTTATTACATACCGATTACTTAAGATTTAACCGAACATGGAATATAAATTAACAACACGTAAATAATGGCAGAAAATAATAATATGCATTATAATGGGAAATGGAAATCAATTAACGATTAAAATAAGAACCTGTAAACAATTCGATTGGCTTTTGGGAAATCCTCTGAAATGACAGCAGGATTTAGTCTCTATGTCAATTACTCGTACAGAATAAAGTTTGGAAAGTAAAACAACAATTGTAAGGAAAGAAAGAAAAAGGAAACAAAATAACGATAAGAAAATGGGAAACTGAAAATTGCTCTAAAAGTAAATTGGCAGCACTTCGTCTCTTCAATGCGGCTCCTCTTTTCTGGTACCAGCTCCCTCCTTTTATAGATGGGATTTCCAACGGTTTATTTCCTCAGGAAGTGGGATTGATATCAGAAAATATAGGAGTTAGTGGTCCACTCCTCTTTGGCATTTTCAAGCACTTTACAGCACGTGCAGAAAATCTGCATTTTAATTCCATGACGATCGTCATGGACCTGTGATGGTCGTAACGCGTATGACGGTCGTCACACCCTTGTGACGGTCGTCACATCAACAGAACTCGTTTTTGTTGTTTTTGGCCTGTTTTTCACCTGTAAATGCTTGTTTTCTTCATCTTGCTCCATTTGAGCATGGACTTTGAATACCTGCAAAATACTGGACAAATAATATGGAAATATCCGAAATCGGAGTGAAAACGGTCGCTGATTAGTAGAAAAGTACGTCATTTTATATATACGATTTCGCGTTATCACGTATTATCTTCGTATGGGTAAGCATCGCAGAAAGATTTACAAATTTGATGATCCCGCATAATTTGGTTATGATATAGGTGGAGCTCATATGGATGATGAAGAGCCTATGAATGTTCTTGAGGGAGATGATACAACGCAAGATGCTCCTCATGGAAATGATCATGGTATCAGTGTTGGTATTGGTTTTGTTGATACTTCCTCTATCATGACAATGCTTTAGAATATGTAATTGAGGCAAGACGAGAGGTATGCAGAGGATTGTAAAAGGCGAGATATCTTTGAATCTACTCAAGAAGAGAGATTTCGTCTAATGCAACAACATATGTCTACTCATGATTCCAACTTTGAGACTTTTGTTACATATGTGACAGAGAGTCTTATGTCTATAAGGACTAATGTGAATGTTAATCATAAGGTTATTCTGGTAAGGATAAATCACTTGATATCGATCCAAGAAGAGGACTATAGTCACTATGAACGATTTTACTGCGAGGTGTGTAAATTCTTGGATTATCACAATGGTAATGACAATCTATGATGGTTTAGGAGTATAAGACGGATGCCTAGAGGATGTGGAAAAAAGATGAAGTGATATTGGATGACGTTTGTGTTGTTACTTTGGTTTGTGTCTTTTGGTCTCATGTGTCATTATGCATTTAGTTGAGTCATGCTTTGAGTCATCATGCATTATGATTTTGTTTGGCTTTTTCTGTTGTGGTTTATGTATTCCCAATATTACTTACTTGTTTGAATTTAAGACAAAGATTGTATTGTGGTTATTGTGTTGGACGATTAATTTGTAATATTGTTGTGTTTATTAATCTTTTGTACTTTCATGTATATTGCGTATATGTGAGTGTGCGCTCTTATCTTTGCAAATTTCCTTTGTATAATATATTATATATGTGAACCGTGTATCTATGTGATACTTGCATTGTCTTTTTTTGATGTTGTCAAAGGGGGAGAAGAATTTGTAGCTATGAAGTTATGATGCACATACTCAGGGGGGTCTTCATGAACAAGAAATAAATTGTCTCAAGTTTTGTCATCATAAAAAAAGGGAGTATATGAGTGCAATTTTCCGTTAGTTATATTTTGTATGATGTCAAAACTAGGATAATTTAGCGTTTATGTACATTAGATGGTGTCATCTGAGTGTAATTGTAAATTTTAGCATTAGGAAGCATGTCAACATGGTTGAAATGGTTTATAAGAGATTCAAGCATCAAGAAATAGTTTTATACATCAAAAACAAAGTTTTGTGTGTGTGCAAAACAACTTATAGGTCGACACATAGGATTATAGGTCGACACATAGAAGAAAATTCTCTTCTATAGGTCGACACATACATCCTTTAGGTCGACATATATGTTGCAGTTCTAAAGCATGTAGGCTCTGTCCATGTGCTGACTCCTTTAGGTCGACACAAGACCTTGATAGGTCGACACATGACTTTGATAAGTCGAGCTATAGACCAAAAATCTTAATTTTTTGCATTATTTTCTACTCCTTTTACATTCTTTTGATACATGCATCATTTCTAATAAGGTTTTAGAATAAAACCTACATGAAGTCAGGGTTTTAAAGCATACTCATCATCTTCAACCTCTATTCTATGCATACACACAATCAAATTACACATCTATATTATGATTGTTAACGTCCAATTTAGGTTGTTTGTACTGTAAATTGGGTTGAGTTCTTTGAGGGTTTCAAATAAGAAAATTGAGTTGGAGTTTTCCTTCAAGATTGTTAAGGAATTTGAAGGTTTTAAACAAGATTATGCAATTCGGATCCGATCGAGTGAAAGTCTTGGGACAAGGGATGCCTTGCAAGGGAGTAGCGTGAGAATATGGATCATGTTTGTAAATCTTGGGATTCAACAAGTGTGCGCTTGGGATTAATTCGACCGAGTAAAAATCTTAGGACAATGAGTGTCTTGCAAGGTAGTAACAAGAACTGGTGAACTAAAGCGAAATTGTTAGTTACTTGATCAATCTTTGAATCTAGGGTTTTGGAGGTGATATAGTCAACATCAAGCCTAGGGTTTGTAGGGTTGGATAAATACGACTCTTGTATTCATACTTTTGCAAAGTAAGTTAAATGCAATTATCTCAATTTGAATTTCAATTGAGAGTAGACGTACACATAGCGAGGCCAATTGGGGAAATGTCTAACCAAGACCTTGTGTACTATATATATATATATATATATATATATATATATATATATATATATATATATATATATATATATATATATATATATATATATATATATATATATATATATATATATATATATATATATATAATTTGTGTTCATTATCATATGTTTGTGTACCTTTGCGCATATCTGAACTTTTCGATAGAGGTTCGGTTAGAAGGTTTGATTCGAGTTGTTTTTACTGTGCCATAAAACTTTTCAAATCAGTTTCTGTCAAAAAAAATTAACTTATAATCTATTCACCCTCTCTATATCGAAGTTTATCGTCTAACAATTTGTCGACAACAAGTTAACTGTCGATTTGACAAATCATCATGTGCATCATGCTCGAAGTAAGCAAGTAGAGAGAATATATCATTTCCCTAGAAATCAACTAATTAAAAAAAGTTTGAACTTGAGCATTGCTGGTCAGAATTGCAACTGATGCTATATTCACCAAGCCTTGAAGAAAGCTAGGTTTGATGAGTTGAAGAGAAGCATTGAAATCTTTTAAAATATGAATTATAAGGTGTGTTAGAAGGTATAATTAATAATTCAATGTTTTAGAAAAGTTGTATTCAACATGTGTGTGAAAGTCAAAGAGGATATATAGAACTTTCCACTTGAATAAAATTTTCTATTCACAATATAATTTCTTCATTCTTATATACTCATATTAATTTATCAAATTTATTAAATGATCACTATTAAACTTGTATGTAATTTAATATAAATATTTATATTTCTTAACTTAATAATAACATCTTTGATTTTCAAGTTCGAGAAGAAGTTGTCCAAGGTGGAACATTGAATGCAAGTATAGGATACATGGAATAATAAAAAATAAAAAACAAAAAAATGTGATATGCTTCATGAAATTCAAAATTGGAAGAGGATCGAGAAATGCTTACCTTTCATGTTTAAGGGTGAAAGGTGATAACTACATGAGATTTCAAATAGCACGTTTTACTTTATCTTCTTTCAAGCCGTTTTTCATGGGCACTAAAAGATTTTGAAATGTCATTGAGGACGCGATGAAAAAGACGTATTGTTAACAATGACAGAAATTTTAAAGAAAAATCGCATTATGAAGGTTTCCACAAGTTTTCAATAAAAGGGTACTTGGAGTGCAACGATATAAGAGATTATTCAAAATTACTAGCCTTGGAAATTTTGAAATTTATCAACACCTTGTAAATTATGAGAATCCAAAGATCATTGTAGTTTTACATAAGCATTTTTAAATGTCAATTCCAAACCATATTCCTGCATGTTTGGAAATAATTTCCTGCTAGCTTAAACTTGACTCTAAAAAGCCATATTGCTAACCAAAAAAAAATTAAAGCACCATAGACATTTAAAACTAAAGTTGAAACATAAAAAATTGACGTAATGTCGATTGGGCTAAAAGCATTGCAACACATTCACTAATTATATCAGCATCAAGAAAAAAAAGGTACAATTTTACTTGGTATATCTCACAGGTCGTAAACAATATTTCTGTCATTCATACCAAAATTCGAAGAAAAATGTTTCTATGCTACCAAAATAGACTGACCCAAATTTACTTAGGGAAGGAAAAGGTAAAATTAACTTATATCATATCATGGAACATCATAAGATCATAAGCTAGTTTAATCCCAGCCAGTTGCTGGCACAGATTCAATTCCGGGAGTGGGAATTAGTTGTGGTTCTGGAACAGCTTCACCCCAGTCCCCTGCAACTGAAAGAATATCCTATATCAACAAAACATGAATACATAGTTCTGAAAAAATACTCTCTACAGCATATGCTGCTTCGATTTCTATCCCGACAGATCTTAATTAGAGAATTAACAAGCGGAATAAATGATGGCATAGTAGAGTAAAAATCATTTTTACCAGCTTCTGGGGCAGTCCAGTTGACTGCTGGAACTGCTGGAATAGGCTGAGGAGCAGCCTCTGGCCATGGTTGATCAATTGCAGCGGGCCACTGACCATCAGATGGAACAGCCGCATTGAAGTCTGCAATAGCATAATCTGGGGCAGGAACTTCATCCTCCTCTTGCTCCTTGGCCTCTTCAGGTTCTCTATAGAAGAATAGATCCACCTGGTTTAAAGAAAATATAAAAGTATGAAACAATGTACTTGTTCTAAACTTGCAAGTTCAACCTCCAGTACCATATATGAATACGTAACATGGTAGAATCTGACAGAAATAAAACAAAATATTTTACCATCACATCCCACTTAAGGCCTGGGCGAATAGTACCGCGCATCTGTAAGACCATCCTAGCCAGAAGCCAAAAGAGACATCCTATGCTATGCTTTCCCTTGTTGTTGGCAGGAATTCCAATATCAACGTACCGCATCGGAGAATCAGTGTCACAAAATGCAATAGTAGGAATATTTCCAAGAGCAGCTTCTTTGATTGGCTGCACAAACAAATACAATTAAAAACAAAGCATGCATAAAATAACACAAATTTAGTATGTAACATTGACTGTCAAAGGGGACAAAGCGAAAATAGTCAATTGATGAAAAATATGCTTAAGAATACAAAAGATATAACATAAATTATATTCACAACCAAACACAGTGAAACTAAAATACAAAAATGAACGAAGGGTAATGGTAAAACCTGGTGATCAGTTCTTGGATCGGTGAGGATAAGAAGACGGGGCTCACTGAAGGAAGTTTGAAGCTGATTGGTGAAGGTTCCAGGAGTGTGCCTTCCAGCAATAGCATGAGCTCCAGTATACTGAGCAAACTTGAGAACAGCTCTCTGTCCATAAGGCCTAGCAGATTGAACAATAATGTCCTGAGGATTCTCAATCGCTACAATAACCCTTGCAGCTAATTGGAGCTTCTCCCATGTCTTTCCAAGATTTATAATGTAAATACCTAAATTAAAACAAAACAAAAATAAAAAAACTCACTTATTATCCACGACTACAACAAAGCGAGGAACCCGAACACAAGCTCGTTCTGGAAAGAAAATTGGATTCTAAATTTCTGATACATATGTTTCCTTGGAAAACCAAAAAGGCATACTACTTAAAACTCTTATACAATTTATACAATTCTCATACAATTTATACAATTCTAAACATGAAAGAGTTAAGTTACACTAATTCAAACCCGAAATTGATAATTGCAATTGAAAGACTACAAAATTCAATAGAAAATTAAACTCAGCAACTCACACCTTTATCCACCATTTAACCCTCTTTCAATGTTCATACTTTTGTGCCTTTAATTTTATACAACAGCGTTTGAACCTAAACCAACTAAGTATTCCTATAATAAACCTTAAAAAGCAAATGACACCGGATATCTGAATCTCGATCTCAACCATCTAATTTCAAATACAATGTATACAAACAAACTCAAAAAAAAAAAAAACACTAGAGATTTGAATATTACCGTCATTTCGGCGTTTAAATATGTAACGCTCCATTTGGAAGTCACAATTCTTAGTGCCGAGGTGGACATCGGCGGCCAACATCATCTGAATGTCGGCTTCCTTCTGAGACAGTTCACGGGATGGGGCGGTAGCCATGGTGGATGATGTTTACTGGCGGTGGCTGTGGCCGTCTCTCTCCCGTGAAGAAAGTAGCTAGGGTTTTGTTTCAAAATCTGTAATTTTATATTTTATTAAAATTAATTAAAATAATAATAATAAGTGAATGGGCCTGTATGAATTTTGGATATCTTTAAACGGCCCATGACAGGTATAGGTTGAGCACAGCTCTCTCTATTTCCTATTTTACCCTTTAGTGACTAGTTAATCCAACAAAAAAGGAACTCTTTTTCTAGCTCCTTTTATCACTTTCGGAAAATATAGAGTCCCGCGGGAATATGTATTAATAATAAAAATTTGGCATAATTAATTCTTTAGTTCCGTAAGTTAATTATAAATTGTGATTTAGTCTTTCAATAAATTGTTTCGATTTAGTTTTATAATATTATTTATGTTAACATATTTGATTATTTATGTTACTTCAGGTGTTAAATCGTTAGTAAATATCAAAGGTGGCGTGTCAATTGTGTGTCTAGTCATCAAATGAATAAATAAATTATTTTTTAAAGGGTTAAATGTTGTCAAAGACCTTCATAATTTCCACAAAAAAAAAAGCTTGTGCTTATAAGAAAGGAACAGCTGAGTAAAAGACCTTCATAATCTCTTCGTTCTTGTTGTCTGACACTGCTGAAAGGAATAACTGGGTTTAAAACTTCGTTTTTGTGTTTGGTTCCTTCATCTTGTTCTTTTTCATCTTGTCTCCATTCACATGGTTTTATTATTCTTCTCTAATGTCTAAGTTGTCAAACAGTGCTTCCATTGGAACATTTAGGTCAGTTATTTGCAGAAACAAGAAGAGTGAGTGTTTTTGCCAAGATGAATGTGTGCTTCATATTGTGGGTGACATGAATAATGTTAATTTTGAGAAAAAGTTTTGGGGTTGCAGACATTTCAGAAATCATGTGAGTAAGTGATGTAATTTCTTCAAATGGTTCGACGACGACATTATTGATGAAAGGGATTTGAAGATTCAAAGGCAAAAGAAAAAAATTTACAAATTGAAGAATGAGATCATCAATATTAAGGGATGGTTGAAAGTGTTTGTAATCATTTGAATACTGGGCTTAGTGTGTAATATTGTATCTGTAACAATTTTTTTTTAGGTTGGTTATTTGTCTGTGTAATGAGATGTATTTGTGAACAAGAAGGTTGAAATGTATCTGTCATGAAATGTGTCTCTCAACACTGTTACGTATGTGTCAAAATTTATCAATGAAAAGTATTTGCTGAAATGTTACTATTGTTTGTTTCCCACAATATACAAGAACAAATGCACACTATAAATTGGTCAGAACAGTAGTCATAAAACCATAACAGATTTACATTAATTAGTAACATTAGTTGTAATAGTAACATTACAAGTCATAACAAAAGTGGCATTGCAAGCAATTAGACATAACTAGAGAATAGGCATTTTATGCCATATGTTACAGCAGTAGAAATCCAACAAAAGTGACATTATAAGTCTTAGCCATAAACTACAAAATAGGCCAAAAGTGGCATAACTAGTACACATCAAATATAAACATAATCTTAGGGTTGGCTCAGAACTGGTTTTAGACCCTTTTGAAGTCTCTTTCTCTTTTTGGATGGTTGTTGAGTTGAACCTCCATTTGGTGTTGGTTGGCTTGATGTAGCAGCAATTGGCGGTGGTTGGCTTGATGTAGCAGCAACTGGTGGTGGTTGGCTTAATGTAGCAGCAGCAGCAGGCGGTGGTTGGCTTGATGTAGCAACAACAGTTGGTGGTTGGCTTGATGTAGCAGTAGCAGTTGTAGGCAGCTTGCGGATGGCCTTATTGTTACCATCCTTATGGCACCTACTGCACTTGATACCAAATTTGGCCCTTTTGAGTTATGTCTCATTTCTAACTTGTTCCCTATCCTCTTTGTTCCTTTTCTTTTTGGGTCTTCCAAGTTGCCTTTTTATGGGGGGTGGTTGCATGTCAACAACATCTATTTTGGTCCAAAGAAATTCTCCATTGATTGGAGAAATTGTTGGTGCATAGCAAGCCTCATAACCCTCTTTTTTGTAATAATCAGGAACAAAATCATCTACTTGTAAATGATTATCCTTCATACATGAAAGGGCATGACAACATTGTATCCCAGTCAGCATCCACCTTCTACATGAACACCCCATGCTTTGATAGATTAATAACAAACTTTTCTTCTATGAGTGATATATGCCTAACCTCATAGTCTACTTCACTTGCACGTCTGTTACAAATATAGAAATCAATTATAGATGCATCCACCTTCTTTGTTTTACTTAGAAATCAAGTATGAGACATTACCTAACAATCCAATTATTAGTTCATTGTGATTCTTTTTCCAACTTCTTTTTGATATTTGGCATAATGGTATCAGCATATTTGGCAATCTTTTTTCTGTTAGACTCTCACCTTTGCATCAGGTACACTCTAATCTCTTCAAGCATAGTCACAACGAGCTTGGCTCTTGCAACTACAAATACAGAGTTAAAGGCTTCTGATATGTTGTTCACCAAAGTGTCACACTTTGGACCTTTTCTAAACCTAGATTTGCTTCAGAACCTTTGTGGGATCTTCCAAAGGTGCTTGAGTGCTTCTTCATTAACCTCTTTCATTTCACGCATAATTTTTTCCCTACCATTTGAATGACTTTCATTAGCAACCTTCCACATCAGTTCCTTTAATTTGACATCAGGAAACTTCTTCCTGAAATTGATATATGAGTGCCTACCAATAACACATGTCAAACATCCACATAAGAAACTAACAAGAATAAAAGGTGTTAAATATGAGTTAGAAATAATGTTTACCTAACACAAAACCTTTGGTTAATATCTGGTAGCAACTCATCAAGTGCAGGTAACAACCCCTGTATTTTAGTCATACCAAATCAGATTTAAAGATATTAAAAACATAATCTATAAAAAAATCAGTTATAAAGATATTAATTAGTACACACCTTTTGTTGATCACTTATAAACGTATATGTCTTGCATAATATCACACCTCCCAAATCATGTGTCAATAGATCCAAAAACCAACCTCGTGAATCTTTGGTTTCTCGCTTAACTACAGGAAATACTATTGGAAGCATTTGGTCATTAGGATCTCTTCCAATGGCTGCAAGAGTTTGTCCACCATAATAGTCTTTCAAAAAGCATCCATCCAAACCTATGATATGTCTGCACTTAAAGAAATTATCCTTGCAAGCTTTGAGGCAAATATAAATCCTTTGGAAATGTGGATTTAAAGGCCTATCATGATTGTCACTACTTTCCTCCCCACCTTGACTCGTTTGACTTGGTTGACTAGTAATTTTCACAGTTGAACCAGGGTTTGCCCTTATCAGCTCATGACCATAATCATGGATTCTTGTATATTGCTTGTCATACCCTAATTTTTTACCCTGAGATTCTGTTTTTTTTGTTTCGCATCGTCTGCATAGCATATCACACATTTTATCATGCATAATACCCAACTTATCAGTTGGAATAAACTTGTTGGAATTACAGCCGAATTGATCAAATAAAAGTCAACTGTGTGCAAATCAGTGAACGGAAAATTTCAAGTTTGAGCATGCAAACGTCAGTGATATTAATCTATGTTTCGTGTAGTATAACTTGGTGTGCTCATTGTTGAAAAGTATATTTCGGGCAAATATTTCTAATATTGTATCCACAGAGATTGGTGTTACTACCGCCGTTCTATAATTTCGATTGTTGTAAGTTCAAAAGGTGTTCGAATTGTTTGTTTATGACTAAAGTATTCTTTTTACTTATAAGAAAATTAAGACAATAAAATTGATTTTAGAATAGAGTTTAGAAGTCTTGTCAAGATTGAGTTTCACTATCTTTGTTCTTTATATGTTCTTAATACCACATGCATGCATTCAAACTCCAATGATAAAATTCAAGTGTCCTCTCAATAATATTTATGTCTAAATAAAATTGTGATGGTTACTATATAAATCCTTAGACGATCTCTCCATCTAACTATTGATATAATAATCTTGAATGTTTAACACAATAGAAAAGTAGTGAATAAATCTATCTCTACAATTTATTCTCTACTTGGAAAAATATCTTAGGTCAAGAATCAAATTATCTTTCTCAACAATAATTTAATTCTGAATTTTCAATGTAAAGAGAAAATATAATTCCTTATATCAAATGTAGTTTGTTACATGCAATGATAGTAATGTTACATAAACAACATAGGATAGCTACTACCTCAAGCTTGACAAGAAAGAAGTTTAGCTACTCATCATCTTCATTGATTCCATGGAAAATTCTTCAAGAATTTCTTCTTGCATGCCAAAACTCTCTAAGAACAAGAAAAATCTCTTCCAAAATCTCTCTAAGATATTCTACAAACCTAAGAGATGCTAAGACTAAAAGGTGGAATGATTATGTCCAACATGCAAGGGAAAAGTGCCATAAATAGCCTATGGGGCGCCACCCTACAAAAAGTGGTTTTACTTCCAAGACAGGACATGTGTCATTACTCTGCATGTGGCTGAAATGCACTCAGTTCGCGGCGCGAAGGGAGGTCGCAGCGTGAACTGTCAAAAACAGAATTGCTTGCTTTGTTGTTTTGCATTGCCTTTGCCAAATTTGTTCTTCAAGTATTGCTCCGGAGATCTTTTTATGCAATCATTCTTTTCTTGACATATATTCTACAAGACTTAAAGAAAAGTGAAATATCTATTCGAACAAAACAAAATAACTAAAATTGAATGTTTTACTAAATTGTGATAAAGATTTGTGTGAATTTAATAAGAAATCGGTAAAAAGGGACCGATAAAATATATAAAAATTACTACCAATTGGTCCCTAATAACTCTCCCCAACTTGTCATTTTGTTTGTCCCTAAACAAAAGTCATTCGTTAAAGCAAACCAATTTATGAAAGCAAGGAATGAAACAAGTGTTAGAGGATGATATTCAAATGGTTCAAAAGCATACAACACTCTATTGATACACTTACTTTCA